GCACCCAGGGCTTCCTCGTTCCCTGCTTCAGTTTCCAGACTCAAGGCTGCGGTCAGCAAGGGCTACTCAATGGCCAAATTGCCTCCACAAGAGATTCAGTTGCCTCTAAGGGTGCCAGGCTTCTCACTGAGGTCACCTAGAATCTAAGATGCTGCCAGCCACACAATCCCAAATAAGCAGCCTCACTTCATCCCCTGTCTATGCATAAAAGTCTCTGGGGACCCTGGCTTGGGCAGACCCAGGAGCGGCCAGCCCTTCCCTGGCTCAGGGAGTCCCGATGTCTGCCAGAAGGTGGCAGCACATGGCCAAGCATGCAGGCTGCGCTAAAATCTGTGCTGTTCTGTTGACACAGCTTGGGCTGTTAGTGCCTTTCGCCTGTGGCCACCTGGAAGGTGTTGTCCTAGGCAGCGCTGTCCCTGTGGACTTGACAGTCTCTCATGCCTTGCCACGTTGTCTGTGCTTCTGCTTGTGAGGTCCAGAGCCACACACCGTAGCTACCTGGGGTTCATTGACCTGGGCATCCAAGGCTGCACAGAGTGCTGTCTTTCCATCAGGGCGCTATGAGGAGCAAACAGGACCAATCTGCCTGAGACGGGACACCAAACCCTGCAGTGCTCAGAGCTCAGTGGGCACAGTCCCTGGAGGGACAACTGTAACTCCACACCGGGGCCTAAGGCAGCCTGGCCTTCGGGTTTACAGAACCATACCGTACGTCTCATCCTTCATCCACCCAACTTTGTATTTCTCCCTCCCTCTTTTCTTCCTCCCCTCTCCTCTTCCACCGTCCTCTCCCAGTGGCCCGCACACCTTAGGAGAACAGGTGCCTACCGTGACGGGTGCCTGAAAGGCTGCTGGACCAGAGATGCTTGCTTTGACAGATGGAGGCTGAGTCCTTTATATGCCCAGGGAAAGCCCCCTGTTCACATGAGCTCTGCCGCCACGTCAAGAAGACAGCCTTTCATGGAGGCTGGCAGGTGGGCTGCCTCTCTGGGGTGGGGGAGGGAGGCCTCCTAATGCTATGGCTTGGCACAGCTGAAGACTGCATATTAAGAGGCCCATCCTGAGCCTCGTAGAAGACCTGGGGTCTAATTAGAGAACAATGGCTGCCCTGTTTCACGCCATCCGACCTCCCCACCTGGCCTCAGGGACTCACGGGCTGGGGGATCATGACTCAGGTCATCAGGAAACGCTGAGGGATGAAAGATGGTGCATGTCACAGCACTGTCTTGCAAGAGAAAGGGCCGGCTTTGTCTAGCCGGGTTGATTCTTCAGCCAGAGGCTCCTTGGGATGGTTTGTGTGTGTTTCTGGCCTCAGACCTGGCAATCTGATTCCTCTTTTCTTTAGAGCTTTTCTGCTCAGTTATGAGATAGAATGACACAGGCCTTTACAATGAGAGGCCTTGGGTTCCATTGCCAGCCCTGTAGTGTGTAGGCTTTTTTCAGACTGGGTTTCTCTCCTCTGCTTCTCTATGCCCCTTGTAAGTTTTTGCTCCTGATCTTACAAGGAGAGCTGACCTTTATTGTGTGTCTAGCATATAAAACACATTTCTAATAACACTTTGCAGGACCTGCCCTTGCCATTCCTATGGTCATCATACCATCCCTGGCTTCTCTGTATTCCAGGAGAAAAGGAGCACTGATCCTTCCTAACAGGCAAGAATAGCAATACCATCATGACTGATGCATTTGTCCAACCTCCTGTGCACTGGGGTCCCTCTTGGGCACCGGCCATGAACCTCTGGGCTGCACATTCCATCACCGCCACCTGCAGAAGTGGGGCTCGCAGACAGCTACCCCTGGGCCTGGCCAAGCCTCTGCAGAGAACCACATTGAAGGGCTTCTCCAGACCACAGCCGTCCACATGCAGCTGTCCACGTGCTGCCTGCACATCTTGCCTGGTGTCCGGCTGCTTGCAGAGCTGGAGGACCAAGGTTGTGCAGGCCTGGTCCTGCCTCTGCACAGAGCAGCCACTGCCTCCGAACTGTTGAGGCCAGGGAGACGGAAGGCTTGGTGTGCAACAAATGTGCCTTCTCAGCACCTCAGGAGCACAGCGGCTGTGTGATTCTAAGGCGCAGTAGCAATCTGCCCAGGTAGGGCAGGTGGGGCTTGACATTCTGTGGAGCAGAAAGTTTTCTCCCAGAGATTGAAACACCAGGGCGTCTTCACCTTAGCACTGCTGCTATTTTGTGCCAAATCCTTCTTTGTCGTGGGCCGTGTCCTGTACACCTCGGCATCTAGGGCTCCACGCATTGGATGCCATTAGTACTCCCTACCACTACCCTGCTGAGCTGTGACAACAAAATGTCTCTAGATGTTGCTAAGTATCCCCTGCAGTCACTGAGCCACTCTTGATAAAGTACACTGGCCTCTCGTATCCCCAGTTCGGCAGCTTTCCTTTTTATGTTGGTGGAATAGAGTAAGAATCCAATTTTCAAAAGAACCCAGGCATAGAAAAAGAGAATGTAAAATTACAGATTTTTATCATGCGAGCAGCTGCATCCCTCGCTCATACAAACCCACACCCTATGCACACCCTATGATTATTCGGAAATGGCGACACATGGGTATACACACACACACATCCAGTACCCAGGAGACACAGACATATTCTTCCTCTCTCTCTTTTTCTTCCCTTTCCCCAATGTTTGTTTTCCTCTCACTGCTCCCTCTTTCTTTGCCAGCAGAGCTTATTTTAGGGGTATACACAAAATAGACAGAAATGCACCTGTGTCTCTGTTTCCAGGAAAAACGTGATTTAATGATGTGACATACGTAATCACACAGTCGCTGTCATCAGCTGCAGCATGTAGTGGTTCCATCTCTTGCCTCATCTATTAAGCACTGGTGGCTACACCTGCATGCATTGGAACTTGAGCTGGAGTGTCACCCTGAGGCCTCCTCGGAGCCCGGAGTCAGGACTTTGTCAGCTCAGGAAGGGGCCCCAACTCCCTTGGACTCCAGGAAACCAGTGGACCCTGGACACATCAGTTCACACTGGGCTCTCTTTGTCCCCTGCATTGCTGCTACTGTGACAAATGGTGTGATGGCAGAAAACTGATCCTACTGGTTTTTGTCCTGTGCTCGCAGCCTTTATTCCTAGTGTCAGGTCAGGTCAGGTGAGTCACTATCTCAAAGAATGGGGCAGCTGCTTCCACATGGGCTGTTCCTGAGCAAACAGCACTGCTCTTGGGTCCAAACCCGCAGACTGTCCCTCCACTTCCCTGTGGAAAGTTACTCTGGAAGAACTGTGGTGTTTTTTGCCAAGATCCTTAATATCAGCTTCTTCCACGAGGAGCGTCTCGTCAAAGAACCCCTAATGAAGGGACTGTTCTGTTTATTTTTATCCAAGAAGGAGTCTCTTTGCCCCCAGAAAATTTGCTGTGTTCACATCACCTTTGCAGACTAAAAGGCCCTTTACAGACCCCCAAAGTCATTGCAGCAGATATCTAAGAACTTGATATTGTATAACTCTCTCAGGGTCTCTCAGGCATTCTGGAAATTAAAAAGGAAGTTGCCTGTGTGAACAGGCAGGGAGGTACCTTGACTCTTCTCTCCACAAAGACTTCTTTTTTTCAGAAATAGTGCCAGGACTCTCAAGCATCCTATTTTATACTTGGATTTCATACAGAAAGTGACTTTTCTCAACAAAGGGCCGCTATAGATCCCCAAGGGTTAGAAAAGAGTTAAGGTAAGCAGAGTGTTAAGGTAAGACCATGGAGGTGGACCCCCAGGTACACAGGAGGAAAGCTCTCCCTGGTAAGGAGGAGAAGGAGGATGCATACAACAGCAACCTGCCTGGTAGTGCCTCACCCAGCAACTGCTGTTTCAACGGGCCCTCCAGACCTGGAACTAGTGACCAGGGACTTGATCTGATGAAGCAAGCAAGAGTCAAGGGCTGGCTTAGCAGGTACAATGAGCTCAAAACCTGGACCTCTCACAAAGGTCCAGCCCTGGCCTTGTTCCTGGAAAATCACACTTAAACCCCCTACATCCCAACGGGAGTCTGTGTACATGACTGCTTTGGGTCACACCAGGTAGTTTATGCAAACATGTGAGTCATGGTGGGGATCTTGGATTGTGTAGCCTCAATTTGACTTCAGGAAGGGCTGAGCAAGTTTGGCCAACACAGGTGCTCCGTGCCTACCTGGCTGGCCTTTCATAAAACCCCTGGGCACCAAGACTCCCATGCCTCCTGGGTAACCAGGCTCCCTACACACTGCTAAGGGGCTAAGTGTGTGACCTCACACAGAGAAGAGGACTGGGACCTTGTGCCTGGGCTCCACTGGAGCTGCTGCTTAGGCCTTTTACACTTGCAGATGTTTTTCTGCATCCCTTTGCTGTAGCGAGGGGTAAATGTGAATGCAGTGACTCTTTTCTGAGTTCTGTGGTCTTCCTAGTGGATTATTGGACCTAAGGAGGCTACTGGGGAGCCTGAAGAAATGGGGAGAAGAGCTCAGCTGAGACAACTTCCTGTACCTCCTTCTGATGAAAATCTCACCATCTCTTACTCATGGCAAGTCAAACTAGTTGTATATAACAAAGTTTTAGTTAACCAGATAACAAAATCATATGTGCTCTTCTCCAGAGTAGAGATTCAGGCTTTCTTTTCAGTTTATTCTTTGGAGTACCAAGCCTAAGTCACTTCTAGTATGGTGCCGGGGCTTCTGGGCTGGACTGATGTGTTTGGAAAAATGTACACTGCCTTGCCCAATTATCCAGTTACTGAATTTTTGCAAATGTTACAGGAATTTCTTGAGTATAGACATTAGGTTCCTATGACTCTGAAGTAGGAAGAGGAGCTAACATCTCTGCATAAATTACGAGGCCTCTACCTTCAATATCTTACACAGATTTAGGGGTCAAAAAAAAGTGCAACTTCTGAAAAGAACCCCTTTCAGTTCATAGCTGATCTAGCTGGAGCCTGTGTGGATTCTGTAAAGGTAACCAGGCTGGGTCAGCGCCAGTATGATGAGTTGTTGCCTGAAGTCATTGCTGGGTCCTCATACCGACTTGCAGATATTTTCAAGGCATTTTTGCTTTAAAGCTGGAAGAACAAGAAAGGGAATTCAGGGTGCTGAGATGGAAGCATATAGAGGCTTACTTCAGACTCTGACAGCACTAGCAAACATTTAGTCTTCCGGAGGCAGGAGGGGAGCATGATGTTTGTCAATGAGTGACAGGGCAGGAAGGGCTCACGCAGGACCCCTTACTACTTCACAGGTGAATGGAGGAGGGAGCCACTCGTATTTCTACCCTCTTTACCTAGTGCTCTCTTCCTAGTACCCAGGTAAATCTAGCCCATCTCCCCAGGTTGCAATGCTAACTTGAACTCATCAATGTAATATCTGTGTGTATAGAGATGTTAGGGTTGCCAGGGCAGAGCTGTGGAATTACGTATCTGCAGGGTGCCCCATTCCTATTTCACCAGGTGAAAGACTTTCTGTCTTTGGCTTTTGCCAAACTCCCAATGCCTGGCTCTTGCAGCGCCTCATGAAGGTAATGGTAGAAAGAGAAGACAGAACAAGCGAAGAGATGAATTTGTATGATAAACAAGGGATAAAGCTGGGCTGGGTGATGGTTGCCTATAATCTCGGCCCTCTGGGAAGCTGAGGCAGAAGAATCGAAAGTTTAAGCCCAACCTGGGCAACATCATTACTTGGTGAGACTCTGGTTCAAAATCAAAAATAAAAAGGGCTGAGGGCATAGCTCAGTGTGAAGGCTCTAGGTTCAAACTCCAGTGTCTCTGGGAGAAGGAAGCAGGGGAGATGCATGGAAATAAAGAGAAGCCAGACAGCCTGGCTTAGAGACTCTTAGAGTGCTGGGCTGGGAATGAAGCTTGGAGAGGGTAAGAGGGCAGCCCGTGAGAAGTGAGGCTGCTTCAGGGTACAGGAGCCAGCACAGGTCTAACAGGTGCTGGCGTGGATCCCACGAGTCCCATTTGCTCCCTTTACAAACTGAAAAGGAAGAGTGAGTGGCTTTTGGGTTTTTGTTTTTTGTTAAAGGTAACACATTCCCAAGACTGGACCATGTGCGCACCCAGTTTATCCCGGATTATGTGAGGGAAGGAGTTTCCAGAGTTCACTATGTTTCCACGAGTTTTAGGGTGCTGGAGCCCCCTGACCAGACAGCCCAAGTGGCTGGCATGGGTAAAACGGTCACATTCTTGGCTTAGGAACCCACAGACAAGACAAAGCCACATGTGTTAAGGAGGAGGAGGAAAAAGCAAAGGTGACGCCAGGCACTGCTCTGGGATAATGAAGTAAACGCGACTTTGAAGTCCCTGGGGCCAGGCAGGGGCCTTGACCCTACGGCAGGACTGCTGGGCTCTGGTCTTTGAACCACCAGTATACATTTCCTTTGGGCGGGGAATTTCAGGGTTGATGTGGTATTTTGTCCTCCATTTTATTTTTGTTTGTCTTTTTAGCCTACCCCGAGGCTCTGAGGGTGGGAATCTTGCCAGAGTTCACACAGAGGTGGCTGAAGAATCAGAAATTGCCTCGACCCTGTCTGTCACACTCAGAGCTGACTGGGAGATCTGTGGAACTCGTCAGATGCCCGCTAAGGCAGGAGAGCCTCGCAGAGTCACAGAACCTTCCTGCCCTCGGGGAGACGCGTCCTCCGTACCCACAGCAGAGTCTGGATGGCACTTACTGTGTGAGTGGGACACCCGTGTCACCTTCTGACACAGGAAGGTTGCATTCTTCAGGAACCAGGAGTAGTAGTCCAGACAGTACCTGAGGAGGTAAGTGAGAGCGTGGAGCAATCACTGTCCTGTGTGACTACTGGGAGACGGAATTAAAGGAGTGATTGCGTCAACATGGAGGTGTGGCCAGTTATGCACGGCAAGGACCCTCTGCTCATCTTTTTAAAAATTATTTTAAAGAGAAAAAAATAAAGATAGCAATAAAACAGAGTTTCAAAACAGGCTAGGGGGACCATATCAATGACCAGTACACTGTGTATTGTCTACACAGCAGCTATTCAGAGTGCAAGGTATCGGCAAGGAATGAAGTGCAAACACCAGCACAGACCTTCCTTCTCTGTGAACTAAGAGAAAGTAGCATATTACTATCTTAACTATCATATAGATATGTTGTTTTCCTTTTCCCTTTTCTCCATCACAGTTTTTTTCTCTCTCTTTTAAAAAGAGAATAAGAATAAAAGTAAAATTAAAATAAAAGCTTAAAAGCAGGCTAATAGCAGAGTAACAATAATTAACACATTGCCCATTGTTATCTGCAAGGTAGTGCTCAGATATAAAGATGTGTTTCTTTTTTTGTAGTGGAGTACTACTCAGTCAAAAAGAAGGATAAAGTCGAGACTTTGTAGGTAAATGGATGCAACCCGATAGCATATCATAAGTGAAATAAATCAGGCCCATATGTGTAAACATTGCACTGTTCACTAGTGTGAGGAATTGAATGATTAAATAAGATCTCAAATGTACAACAGATATTGTGACGGGAAGAAACTGCTTAAAAGAAAAGAAAACCTAATGGAGGGAAGGAGAAAGGAAGGAAGAGAAAAGGGGAAAATATATCTATATACACGAGACAGTTAAGACAGTTACACAGTTACTTTCTCTTAGTTCATTGAGAAGGAAGATCCCTGCTAATGTCTGGACATTATTGTTCTGTCCCTGTGTTTATCTTTATATATTAGGAAAGGTAAGGAAGAAGTCTGGGTGGGTCACAGCTCAGACTTCAGGGCCAAGAAGAATTGGTTTAGTCCTAGCTCCACTGTTTATTACGATGGGTGACTGCCGGCTGAGTTCTTAATTCTCTGGGCCTTAGTTTCTTCATATAGAAATGAAAGACAGTAATACAAACAACACTCACAAGTTGTTTGAAGATTATAGAAGGTAAATACATAAAGTCCTTGAATAGTACCCAGCATGTACTGTGGTAGATTCTCAATAAATGACCTTGATTGTTTCCAGGGGAATTGCTGCATTGTCTTGCTTCTGGTCCAGGGCAATAGGAGCTACTTTGAAATAATGCTGTAGGAAGGAGATCCCTGCTGTGCCATTGGGAGGTAAACTGCAGTGCAGACCCTGTCACTAGTCTACAGTATGACTGGGAATTCGCATCCCTTTCAATCCCTTTCAGTATGAGGAGGTCAGGTGAAGCGAGCTCTAAGTCCTCTTCCCTCTTTCTCATTCTGTGATTTTAGCATGCTCTAGGGGGCTGTGCAACTCACTGCCAAGGTCTCCCAGGTGCCATTGTCCCAGTTTATAGGAAATTGTAGAGCTGAGGAGACAGAGGCACACAGATTAGTGAACATATCCAAGGATGTGTTGCTTTCAAGTGCGGGTGCTGGATTTTAAGCATCACATGAAATTTGAATCAGGAAGAAGACAAACCCATGTTGGCCTTGCAGCAGGAACTCAATAGAGGAAGTCAGTCAGCAGAGCTGGAAGAACACAAAAAGATAGAAAACTCAATATCAGCAGCTATGTGGGGAGAGAAAGGACATCTCATGGCCAAGCACAGAAGGGAAGTGCCTCTGGTGGCCGCTGGAACCAGAGGAGAAAGAGCTTTCCCTGGAAATACTTCCAAAGCAGAAAGAGAGGAGGAGACATTCTCTGCGCTTTAATCCTCTGCCAATCTCTTCCATTGGACCAATTAACAGGAAGTAGGTTGGCAATGCATTCTGGGAAATGCAGTTTCCAGACATCAGTGGCTGAAGTACAGAATAGAGAGGGCAGAGTAGGGAGGCGCATGATGAGCACAATCAGGGCTCCTTTTCCTGTGAGCCAGGACCCACATACTCAAGGTGACACTTCAAAAGCTGAAGAGATAGCGGGGAGAATCCTGGTTGACTCAACAGCTGACATGGCTACCAGGAATGTGGTGGCCACAGCTGCTTATCAAGTGTGTCAGAGATGGGTTCATGATTGGCCAAGGAAATGGAAAAGAGAGCAGTGTATACCAGCAACCACAACAGAGTCTTTATCAGCAACTCTGGGTGCTCCGTATGTGCGGGTATTTCATTGTCATGCCATTGTCAGGCTTGGTGAGGGTGGTGTAACCTTCTCTATGAATGGCATGAAACTATGTGACATGTGGCCTGGAATGTGACCTACGTTTTAGATAAACAAACAGCTTCAGAGAGGAGAAATGAGTAGTCCAAGACAACATAGCTTCTAAGTGGTGCAACCTAAATTAATCCTAGGTCTGTGGCCTTCAAGCCTGACCATCTTTACAGCACACTAAGCCACCTTCTAACTTTAGAGACCTTGGTTACACAGCCTAATCTCATTCCTCCTCTGTTTTTGACAATGTGCAGGGTGTGTTTTCTAACAGCAGCAGCCACAGCAACAACAACAGCAAAGTTTTAGAAAGTTTCCGAGCGGCCGAGGACGTCAGTCTACCTGGCAATGATGCGCTTTGGTAAACTATGTTGCTAAGCGACCATGCCAGCTGAGATCCCCCGTGAATGTTCACACTGTGAGCACAGGACTCAGTGTGCAATAACCATGGAGACACAGCCCACTTTGTCATGAGCTACAAAGCTGCTTTTTTGGGCCTTATGTAACTTTGTTTTTTTTTTGGTTTTTTTCCTTTTTACCAGTACCAGGGCTCGAACTCAAGACTGCCTGCTTGCAAGGCAGGCACTTATGCCGCTGAGCTGAATCCCCAGCCCCCAAGGGCCTTATGTAACTTTGGCAGAGTGTGTAGTTTGTAGGATAAACAAAATTTTCTGCCTCTCTGCTCAGGAGAAAAACTAAACATGGTGTAATTCACCCCTGAACCTTCACGCAGAGGATCCCCCTGTAAGGGCAGTGGGGCAAGAGAAGAGTAGGTAAGTAGCTCTGGGCACTGCTCTCTAGGAATCAAGTTAAGTTTGTCTGTCCTTCGTCTGTGAGGGACTGGACACCCTCACAGATGGCCTTCTGCAGGGGAGGCTGGGTGGTCGTACAAGAAAATAAGTTATGAGGGTGGTCTGTCTTTCTTTCTCTTTCTCTTTCTTTCCTGCTTCTTATGGCAGAGTCTAGCTGCAGTGTCAGGGGCAGGATGACCTGGATGGACCTATGTTCAAGCATCCATTATTATGTCTCATTTTTGCATCTGATTAGAGCCATCAAGCCACTGTAGAGTCACCCAGCCAGCCTGGACCCAGCAGGAGTCACAGAGGCAGCAGGGTAGGAAGCATTCTGGGCTCTGTCATCCTTCAAGGAGGGAAGGCATGTTCCAAAGGACCTAAATAAGGAAAGTTTTTTGGAGAGGACTATAAGAGAGAGATGATGGGGGGAAGTTTAGGGAAGCATAGTTTAAGAATAGAAAAAGTGAAGGGCTGGATTTAGGGGTCTCATGAGTTTTTCTGTTTCTGAATGAGAGTCAGTGGTGAGCCTCAAGGGCACGTAGCTGAAAGGAGTAACCGGGCACAATCAAATGCCCCACCCTCCGCTGTGCCATGGGGTGTCTCACTGAGCAAGGCAGAGTACAAACTAGGAGGTTAAAGAAGAGTGGACAGAAGGAAACAAAGGGTGGGAGCTCTTGCGGATGGAAAGGGGTCCCAGAGGCCAAGCGTACGGGGAGAGGGGGAGGGGAATAAGCAGAATAAAGACATGCTGTGTACAGGAACCTAATCACCTCCGTGACTATAAACATTACATGCCACAAACTTGAGCTAAGATTAATGATAGCAAGGAGAGTGAAATGGGGAAAGGAGAATTACGGGAGGAGAGAAGGGGAAGGGAATTTAAAAAACAGTTATATTATGCACAAGTATCCATGTCCCAAAATGATTATAAACTGCATGTACTGCTGTCATGTACTAGAAGAAGAAGGAAGAGGAGGAGGAGGAGGAGGGGGAGGAGGAGGAGAAGGAGGAGGAGAAAGAGGAAGGAGGATGAGCAGAAGGAGGAGGAGAAGGAGGAAGAGGAGAAGGAAGAGGAGCAGAAGGAGAGGAGGAAGAGGTAACCCAGGGTCTTGAAAGAGTGATGTTGACCTGAACAGGGACACGTGTCACAGACATCGGTCTACCTTTGCCCCTACAGACATCCTGAACACCCAGTAACCCCACTACAGGGTCCCCATCCTGTGTTCGCATATGCTTTTCCTTATGTCTGGAGTTGAGTCTCACACTTTCTGCCTTGAAATCTCCTCTTCATCCCTCACACCATTTTATTTCTTCTGGGTTCTGTCAGCATATAATTCAGGCTTTGCTATCGTACTTGTTGTCATTGGTGGCTTGAAATATTGCTGCCTTCTCCACAACGTAGTGCTTTTTAGTTTTATTTCAAAGGCTACATTTTCAACAAGCATTCCAAGTGACACTGTTTTACCACTCTGGGACTCTTCTCCTGAACACTGAGTTCATGGGACAGCTCACTATTTAATGAAACTACAAGGCAAGGAATGGGCAGCCAGGTAAAAAGACACTTCCTTCCTCTAAATTCAAATTCAAAGTTTTTCTCTGCAAACTTCAGCTTTTTCCATTTATTGTCTCAATCAATATTTGGAACATGGGCGTTTACCATGGGCGTGGTATTTTCCAGGCAGGATGTTACTTACAGGTTTTTGTTTGGGTGCAAGACTTGCTTACCACCAGCTCTATCTCACTTTGTGCTCACGACCAGCTCCTCACCCCACCTTTGAAGTCGTCAGTTTCTGACCCTACTGATGACACACTTCTTCATTCCTTGGCTTAATGCGCACATGGCTGATATACAGCAGAGACTTAACACACGTGTTGATTGAAAGAGTGAGAGAAAGATTTAGTAGAGTGAGCTGCTCCTAGATAATGCAGAAAGTATTACTTTGAAGATTTCCTCTTGTTAAGGGCCAAGCTTTGCTGGGGAGAAATGCCTCACCTTGCTTGCTCACATCTTGGGTCTATGGATGTTTTTTGTCACCTTCTTAGTATTTAGAGAACATTCACTAAAGGACTCACGATCCAGGATAAAAAGAGGTGAAAGCACAGGGTGCAAGCCTGGGAATGACACAGGTGAAGACATACAAAGGGTCTCATGTCAAAGACCTGAGAACTGGCCTCCAGACCTCAGGAACAGTATTCATCCTTGTTGTTTGGTTCTGAGTTTACAGCCAAGAATAAATACTGGAAGATAAGGTGGTGTATCCATATTGAAGGTCAGAAATGTGTCCAAATTTAGACCTTCTGAATGATGTCTGCCTTGCAATTTTATTTTTACAAGCATCTCATTTAACTGCCTGGTGACTGCTAGGGATTCACAAGAGAACTGTAATTTAGATTGATGTGTGCTTTGGTCAGTCTTCCCTGGATGATATCACCAGGCTGAGGTCACTGCTGTCCAAGGGCCATTCAAAGTCTGGTTAGTAATTCTACTTGCTACGATGCAATTCGTCTTAACTGTATTCACCTCAATTCAATCCATTTCACCACAACCTAGCTCAGCACAATTTAGTTGAACTCACCTCTACCCAGCTCTAGACAGCTCAGCTCAGTTCATCTCAGAGCTACTCAGTTTACCACCACTCAGTTTAACTTGTATTCACTTAGTGGATCGGGCCTTGCCCTTGATTCTGGGAACCCAGAAATGAATGAGGGCCCAGTTTAGTGTTCAAGGAAGTGACAGTTTAGTGTAGGACTCACTGGAGAGTCTACTCCTTGAGGCAGCCCTGCCACTTGTGAATAACTTGATACCTGGCTACCCTGTGGCCTACGGAGAAGCCATACAGAATAAGAAGCCCTATACGTGTCAGATGCGAAAAGAAGCAACTAGACCATGTTACCGCATAGTGTCTGTCGTAGGGTTCCTCCTCTGGCTCCCACAGAGGCATTGCTGGAAGAAGCGACACAGCTCCATCAGGCATGGGTTGAACTTCTGGATGGCCAGTGTGATGGGAGCAGCTGTTGTGGTTCCCTCTTTGAGAAGAGACTGAGGACACCCTGGAAGGTACAAACTCAAAGGAGTCAAATCAAGAAGAGTTCAGCCAACAACTCCCCTTGGTTAGCGCCTGTGTGGGTCAAGATATCCTTGCTTGTCCTCAGGTGACTCTGGGACAGACAGTAAACAGAGTGTGGTTTCATCATTGTTACTTTGATAATTTCAGCAGACAAGGAGTGCACAAGTTATCACCGCTTCCTGGAGAAAACCAGAGATAGTGTCCCTGAAGAGCACATTTTAGACAGTCTAACAAGTCAACCAAAAATGCATCATGTGGAGGGCATTTGTGGTGTAAGGGATGGAGTGCATGATGATTCAGTGTCACGTGAGGGATGGCATGCTAAGGGGACATGGAGAATGCGATGGTGTGTGTACACATGTGTGTGAACTCCAGCGTGTGCAAGAAAGAGGGAAAGAAAGGGCAGGTGAAAGATGAAACTGACAAGCCAAGTCACTGGACAAGTGGACTCTGCATTTGTTGAAGATTAGCTATGTTGAAGGGAATCAGATTTTCACTGTTGTTTAAGATGTGAACTTTAGGAGAAGAAAGAAAAAAATAAAAGAAGTTTTTGAAAGAATTGCATCTCTCTGGGGTCTCCCGAAACTGGGACAGCTTCCTATGACAACACTTTTGCTCCCTTATGTGGAAATCAAATAGACTCTTACCCATGGCATAGGGGTGACTGGGAAGATTGAGTGCCTCAGTTTACTCAAAGCGTAATGCATAGTTCTTGCCATGAAATGATCAGTAAATAATAGCTATTGTTATTATTCTTTAATAACAGTGTAAGGGGCATCCATGCTCCCCAGGCCCTGCTTATGAACACTAGGGATGTAATCATGAGTGAGGTAGAAGAAGGCCTTCTGCTCACAGAGCTCACATTCTAGCGACCTAAAGATTATATTAGGACAGCATTAATAACCACCCGGCCAAGGGGCGCCATCACTGCCAGAAAAATTAACTAACTCTAGGAATAGGCAGAAATGAATACTGGCGTCCTTTTAGTGTAGTGCTATTTCTAGCAGACGTCTTACGGACTTAGGGTGTGCACCTTTGCTTGACATACTGAGTGTGGGGTTTACAAGTCTGAGAGGGTAGAGGTGAGCTGATAGCCATGTTCTTGTGTGAAAGTAATGTACAGCTCCTGTCTGTAGCAATATAAACAAACTTTGTCAGATAAATATACAATTGATGCAGCAGTAAGCTATGGGGTCTTAGTTAATAATTGATTTTGGGTTTCCTTTATAAATCCTTGTTCATCAACTTTGCTGTCTGACCACTGTTAACATCTTCCTGATTTCTTATTTAATGAGTTGAATGATATTTTTTGATGTGTTGACATTTGTTTTTTCTACATTATGTCTTTTTTTAACAATTTGAAATTTGTAATTTATCTGTAATATATTTGAAGTGGAAAAAGCATTCACAATGTTAGAGAGTCTTTACAAAAACGTTTTATGCTGAGTCAAGGAGAATACCAAGCCTTCCCGAACACTGCCCAATTTCCACCCATGTTTTCCTCTAACATTAGTGGAGCACCTGTTAGGAGCCAGGCACTTTCCTAAACTCTTCAGATTGTTGTCTCACTGACTTCTTATAAAAATTTAGGGGGTACAGGGCTGGGGATTTAGTTCAGTGGTATAAGTGCCTGCCTTGCAAGTGTGCAGTCGTGAGTTTGATTCCTGGTACAAAAAAAAAAAAAAAAATTAAGGTGTAGGTATCCGAAGTATAGAAGAGGATGCCAAGAGCCCAAGTGACTGCATTTGAATCACTTACACAGCAGGCAGTGGGTCTCGCAAGCCTGGTGCTGGGTCCAGCCACCACGCTTTACTGCATTGACCCAGTTGACATCCTCAAGGCTTGTTACCATTACCTGCCCTTCCCTAAATCCTCCCTGCATTGCCCAGTCTTCTCCAACTCAGAAATAATGCTCGGGAAACCCACTCTTTCCCACCCGGGTCTGATCTTTATTTCTCTCCTGATGTTCGCTTGACTGTCATAATGTCCTCTTCATTCTGTCCCCTAAATGCCACCTAAGTCATCCTATCTGCACAGTCACCTCCTAGCTCCAGCCTATCCGCACTGGCTGTTCCTCACTTGTTTCCATGCTTTCAGCCTCTTTCTCTGCAGCCACAGAAATCCTTCTGCGGCACAAACCCAGGCCCACAGCTGCCTGCTGCCTCTTTGAGATGTGATGAGCCCTGGTGATTCTACCCTTGCCAACCTCTCCAGGCTCAAGCCATACAGTTTTCATCTTCAGTCATCACTATTCCAGCTGGAGAGGCTGTTGTGGTCACAGGGAGCATCAGTGCTTGTAGGCCACTGGACATTTGCTCGAGCTAAGCCTCTGAGAGGGGGTGTGTTTGAAGGTAGGTTTGTTCTGCAGACACTTTCTCAGGCAGACACTGGAAAGATCTCTCCTACCAGAAGCCTCCTGTCTCTCAATACATGTGTTTACATTTCATTGGAACCTTCTATGTTTTTCCTTTCACTGCAATTTTTGTGCCTAGGTCACATCTAGTAACATGGAATGAAGAAATGAGCAAAAGTTTCAGAAGTAGACACATCTGAGTTTAAAACTCAGTCTGGGCTGTGATGGTAGAGAGCTTGCCTAGTATGCAAAAGGACCTAGCTTCCACCTTTAGCCCACGAAACAACATGAAAACTCTTACATCTCTCTTTGTCTGTAGAACTCATCAGAATTGCTTAATGAAACAATATTATCTATTTTGCAGACTTATTAGATATAGAAAGTAAAAATAATTCTACCATTATGCCTGACACACAGAGCCCAGGAAATACTTATTAAAGGGATGAACAAGTGATGAAAATAGAATTTGTGGCATGATCTTTGTGAATAAGCAGGATAATTTACTTAATGATGACAAGCTTTATTTTATAATTACATGTCTCAGTAGATAGATGATGGATGAATGGACACAGATGAATACAAATGGAGATAGATAGATAGAGATAAATGGATAGAGATAAGACATTTATGAGATAAATAACATTATGGGTTAATGAGTAGGTTGATGGAAAAGGATATAGATACAGTTATACACATGAACATATAGGTAGATACAGATATAGATGTAGATACAGATACAGTTACAGATATATACATATACAGAGTTACAGATATAGTTACAGATATAGATACTCAGATACAGTTACAGATACAGTTACAGATACAGATAAAGATTCAGAGACAGTTACAGTTCAGATACAGATATACAGATACAGTCAGCTTGTTTTCTGGGACTGAGTCAAACACCAACCCCCATCTGTGCCACCACTGTGGATGCTTAGAACTCTGGGGAAAGGACTGTAATTTCCTTTGGCAGCATAATCATGTCTTTGTATCTGAAAGGCCTATTCACTGTTCAAAGCCTGCTTCGAGGGGCTGAGGAGATCTGGGGTGATAAGGAAAAGTAGACTGTACCAGCTTCAGCATTTTAATAATGTCTGCTAACATACGACTGAACAGTCCAGAACATTCAGGAAACTGGCATCCGCAGTAGGAGGTACCTGAAGACCCAGCCAGCTTTGAAGCACTCCCTTTGTGTCAAATTAATTTTCTCTTTCTCTCTGTCTCTCTCTCTCTTCTCTTTCTGTTTTGTCTTTTTGAGTTAGGATTTTGCTATGTAGTTTGGGTTGGCATTTAAATTCGCTTTGTAGCTCAGAGTGGTCTCAAACTCACAGCGATTTTCCTGCCTCAACCGTTCAAGTGCCGGAATTACAGGTGTGTGCCATCATGCCTGCCTGTATCAAGTTTTTTCTTATGGAAACTGGCCAGCAGAGACGAAGATAGTGAGACATACTAAAAAGCTGAAGAAACAGTAAAGCCCGTTTCAAGGGATAATGAAAACCCAACTACAAGCCTATTGTTTTTTCCTTAGAACCATGAAAATTAAGTAGCCAGAAATGGGGTGAGCAGAATGCTCCTTAAAGGAGAGCTGCGGTGAATCACATCTAGCAAATGGGGCTGGGGGTTGCACTTGTGTTTTGTCTCTTCCCTGACAGCACCCGTGCTTATCCTACCAGCAGCTGCCATAAGCAAAGCGCCCAGTGGCTGCTCCATAGATGCTCAACCAATAAAAGTTGACCAGATTAAGTTACACAGAGCTACACAATCCCAAATCACTAAAGACACATTATTTTACTTAATACAAAGCCACGTGGAAATGAAACAAATACCAGATGATTCCAGGGCTCACATAATTGAAACTTCTAGCTTAACAGTTGTGGAAACTGAATCCTGGGAGCTGGATGCTGGAAGCATTCACCAGGAAGTGGCTGAGCTGAGACTTGCATCTTAGCCATCGGACTCTACATTTATCAGAGAAAACTGTCTTTGTTACAGTACCCAACCTTCTCCTAAATAACCTTGAGTGAAAGCTGTGATGTGACACTGCTGTACTCACGTGATGCTTGATGAGGAACTGGGGGCAGGGCTGCCTCTTTCCCAGGGGCGAATGGGCTCTCTGCAGGGGCCTCACCTGCACAGGGCAAGAATAGCCTTCTACAAATCTGACCAAGAAGACTCAACCGGAGAATCACAACCCCTTCAGAATACATAGTGCTTCCAACCGTAGCCAAAGGGAAGTGACTTACCCAAATGGACAAGCCACTTTAGCAGCACATCAAGGCTTATGAACCAGTTCTGCCTCTTTCTGTAAGCATCCATAAGGTCAATAACTGGCTTCTTTTGTGCACTGGCACCCCTGTCCCGCTGTGTCCCTGTTCTCATTCTGAGCATTTCCCTTATGGTATCGGGGTGCTTTTTCCAGCTGCGTACTCTCACCTGTTTGCAGATCTTTGGGGGCTGGTGCCTTGGTCGGACTCAAAGTCTGAGTGCTGGAGGTCACTGTTCCTGGGATGGGAACAGAGAAATGTGAGCCTACATCATTTCTAGAGGGTGCATCTGAAGACTACGCCTCATGCTGCCAGTGTTGTGCCACCCCAAGCAGTGGTGCTCATTAAACCAGGCGTCAAGCAGGGAGCTAAGGATGCAGAAATATGTAAGAAACAGAGCCCACGGTGGAGGTGCAGATGTGTGATTTTCTAATGTGGGTCAGCACAGATTTCTTCCTTCTTGCCCTCCTTTAACCCTCCTTTTCTCCTTCTCTCTCTCTCTGTCTCTCTCTGTCTCTCTGCCTCTCTCTGTCTCTGTAGCTCTCTCTCTCTCTCTCTCTCTCTCTCTCTCTCTCTCTCTCTCTCTTTTTGGTTGTACTGGGGATTGAACCTAAGGCCTCTGCACTGAGTTACATCCCCAGCCCTTTTTATTTATATTTTTATCTTGAGTCAGGATTGCCAAGTCATTAAATTGGCCTTGAGTTTATTGTCCTCCTGCCTCAGCTTTCCTGCTGCAATTATAGGTGTGCACCACTATTCCCGGCCAGCATATCTGCCCCATTTCCCTTTAGAATGCACACTGTGGGTATTTCTAATGCTTGCTGCCTGAAGGTGTTTCTATGTAGTTTTGAAACTGAGTGACCTTAACCACACCCACATACAGAACTACTTGTCTGATTGCTATTAACAGTCTGTCTACTAAATGACTACAGTGTGAAAGATTAAAAGGAAAGAGACCTCAGACAAAGGTAGGTACATGCAGTTCCCTGGAGGGTGTGCTCCTACAGCTGACCAGAATGGCAGCTGGGTGAGGACAGGCCAGTGGGAGGGCCACTGACTAAGCTCTTCCCAGGTACTGTGCAGTGAGCCACGCATCTTGCTGACCTCACCTAATTTAGCCATTGTAGTGGCTCTGACATCTCCCAGTTCATTGATGGGAAAATCAAGACAGATAAAGAACATTGCCTGTGTATACCATAAGGGCACACATGTATTGATACACAGAGGAATCACATAGGACAGTGCTCCCACCTTCAAGAATTTAAGATCTCCTCATTACATGGTTGTATATTATGTATGCACTTGTGTGTGTGTGTGTGTGTGTGTGTGGTGCATGGCATATTAAATTGTGTGTACACAGTGTATAAATAATTGGTAAAATCCAAAAGGAAATTGACCTGTCTGGAGTGAATGATGCTGACTTCTACTGGTCACCACTTAATGGACAGTGAAACAAAGAAAAAAATCAGAAAGTGAGTTTGTGTAAAGGATGTGAGGAGGTGGGAGATTCCTGTGAAGAAGGAGTGTTTGTTCATTTATCTATTCATTCAAAAATGAGAAGAAAAAAGGGAAGAATAAAGAAGAGAAAATTTGCATTATTGGCATTAATTGTATGGTTCCTTTGCATTCTTATATGTGTGTTATATTTCAAAATTTAGAAAGAATTTTGAGACAGGCAGTGCTAGATTTAACTGGAGATGGGAGGAGAAAGTGCGGATCCTCTCTTACCTGAGGTTGGGCCGAGTCGGGTTGGGCTGGGCTGGGCTGGGCTGCTGGCCATGCTCACTACCGCAGCAGGCCCCAGAAAGCTCCCTGTGCTCCTGGCCTCCTGGGCCTCTGCAGAGGCTGGTGGGGAGGACTGAGCTTCCCACGGAGGCCCCCCGGGGGCTTTCTCTTCCGTGGTCTGAGCCCTAGGCACGGACAGTGTCGGCGTCTGTGTCTTTCCTTCGGCAGGGAACCGTGGTGTTTCAGGTGCTCCCCTGGTAGCTGTATGTTGAAAGCCACGGTCACTGATACATTCACTCTGCCCTCTGGTTCTTATATAAAGTTGCAGAGTCATGAAAATGCTACTAAGCACAAATGCAACGCCTGTGCACAGCACTGGCCATTTGAGGATTCAGACTTTACCCAGAATTGGATAAATGACCAAGCGAAGTTTGTTGCCTAAACATGGATTTTATAAAATACTCCAAATCCCTTAGACACAGTCCATGGTGGTATGTATCTGGGGTGGGTAGGCTCTGTGTCAAATTTATGACATCAATACTAATCATGACATGGTGGAAAGATGGTGGGTTTGAGGTGAAGCTGTCTGAAGAAACAAGCTATGAACTTTGAGGCAAATTACCTCTTTTGTCTGTATCATTAAATTGGGCATAATCAAAATAAGAATTCCTTTCTTGTGCTATCACAGAATTATCATCAATTAGGACAAATATTCTCCAGTTGACCTTTTAAAAATTGTTAAAATTTTAACATTTCACACTTACGATAGAAATTAAAATCTTCTTTTTTCAAGATGATTTTACAGAACTAATCCCATTGGTGAATTTTATATCTATGAGTTATGCTGTGAAAATTTGCTACCTTTAAACCATTCATAGTTTGCTTTCAGAGCATGGTGCATTCATTCATTTATCTAAATATTCCTCAGCAGTAAACCTGACTTAAGGACTTACGAGTGGCAAACTTTCACAGGTGTACCGTGCGAGACTCACTTTGTCAGACACAAACGAATCTGACTTTTTAACTTTGTCCCAGAACACAGTTTGTTCATAAATTGGGGAATTACTATAATGCTCTTGTTAACATTTTACAATTTCTCTTGTAAGAAATAGCACTGTTTTTGTTTTAAGGTCACAACTAGGCATTTTATGAACATTCTTGTCTCAGGCAACCATAGGTTTTCCCATATCACATGGGGAAGATCTCTAATTTTGCATCCTGGTCACGATGCCAGCTATTGTGGGAACACTTTGGGGCAAATCTGAAAGTTTCCCAGCTAGTGAAGCGTATTCCGGCTTCTCTTCCCTACTCAGTCACGCTGCTTTCTTGCCTGCTGGATGCGTGTCAGATCTCATCTCCTTTGAGTCCCTGCCATGGTGGGTGGGATCCCCTCACCAGCTCCCCAGTTACAATGGTTCCTCAGTGCCTGGGTTATGATGATAGTTATCTGCCTGTGTCTCCTTTCTGCTCTGTGAGCTCAAAAAGGACAGGAACCAACTACAGAACTGTGCTGTTACCAGCTAGCCTAGTAGTAGAAGCAAATTTATGTTTTGGTGAGTGAGGGCATGAATGACTGAATTCTAATGGCTCTGGTTCTTTATTGGAGCAGATATCATAGACTTTTAATAAAAGAGATAGCTCAGTTTTCTTTAATGTATTTCCAAATAAAAAATGAGAAGTTCGTGTGTGTGCATTGTGTGTGTGCAGAGACAGCACTGCTGATCCTACACAGGTCGGGGTGGGGGGAGGGAGGAGTCTCTGAAAGAGGAATTAGGACAGCTCCATGTGCTCTGAAGCTATAATAGGATCCCAAGGTGAAATTTGGGGAAATCAAGGTAGACAGTATGTAAAAGATGGGCTCCCAAAACACAGAAGAGTAGATTTTAGAGAGAAACAGAACCAGATTTCTTCTATGAAGAAAAAAGAAATCAGACATGACATTTGCCTGGCCCTTCCCCAGGGACAGCTGGAGTGAAGGTGGGGTGGAGAGCATGGGAAGGAAAATGAGAGGCTTCTCCTAGCCTATAGAGTCGCTTCCTCCAGCTGGACAGAGACTGACCTGCAGTGGGCGCTGGGATTCCATCTCCTCTTGCCCTTTGTCAGAGGCAGGGGTGATCTACTCAACAGCAGGAGGTGGTCAGCAGCTATGTGGTCAGTAGCTGAGTCAGTGCCTCTCTCCTGCCTTATTTTTGGGCCAGTAACACTCATGGGTATTTACCTAGCTCCCAGACTAGTTGGTGTAAGGTGAAGTGTGTCCCAGACTGTCATTCAGCCAGATGATTGATCAACAGGAACATCATTAATAGTGTCAATTTGTAAGTACATTCTCCCTTTCCAAGCATTTTTTCCTGAATAAAGGAGCACCAGAGAGGAGACAGAATTGAAACTACAAGTGTGAAGGTTGTAGACGGACTTTCTCAGTGAGATTAGCTCAACTTCAGATCTCTCTTCAGAACTGGCAGAAAGGGCAGCCTGCTACACACTCATTTAATCTCCTTCTCAACAAGTTTTGTCTCATAAAATGAGACTCCCTGCACAGCATAACCAGTAAATGCCCTAAATAACACAAAAATCAAAATGGCACAGTTAATTACAGCCTGGCATTCACCATGTTTCACATTTCACTCCAGGAAATAGAAATAAAGAGCCTACTGTGTACAAGGGATGTGTGAGGCACCAAGGCAGAGCCACACTGTGGTCCCAAAGGAGATTTGACCTCTTTCTCCATGGATCATTCATTGAGGAGACTCATAGAAATTCAGCTGTGGTAAAAACTGGAGTAAGACAGCACCCAAATGTAGTACAATTGCTGTGTTGTAGGAGGAGAGTGGACAGAAGACAGATTTTGATTGGGAGAGCTTCAAGAAACAAAAAGTGACAGCAAACAGTGTTCTGACACATCCAAACTTAAGAAGATCGAGACAGTGATAATCCCATGAACAAAGTCACATGGAGAGCATGAGGATATGAGCCATCTGCAAGAAATGGAGAGACGTCAGTGTAGATACCCCAAAGAACTGGAGGGGAAAAGGCCAAGGACAGAAGGGGCTTTGGGGCTCACAGGCAGAGAACTGTGGAATTCAGGCCAAGGACTTTGACTCTCTGCTGCTGACTTTTGGGTTCTGGGCAGTGAAGAGACACAATCCAAGTGGGATTTGAAGACTGTAGGTTTTGAGGTAGTGGGTGGGTATTTCAGAGAAATAGGAGAGTATGACAAAAGGCATTTTTTCAGAGGATGGTATGGTTTAAATACTAAAGGAATTGATCAAGATCTTCACAGCCAGACCCAAAAACTTTATTCAGTTAAAATGCCAGCTAAGGGAAGGAGCAAAAGGACTTAAAGGTGGATCCAAAAATGCTACCTAGTGACAGAGAAAAGACAGGAAGATGGTCAGGTATAGGGTGTGGGGTAGGTGGAGGATGATTGGGTAGGTGCTGGATATTGCAGAATGGCAATGCCTCTAGAACAGGATTAAAAGCTCAGTACATGCAAGAGACAAATAGTTAATACAAGAAAAAGTGCATGGGGGGCAGGAGGCAGAGTGGACTATGGAAAATGGGGTAAAAGTGTCCCTCCTAACTAGAGAAAGGGGCCCAAAAGTTATTTATCTCTAGTTTCTTATTGCCATGGGAAAGAGGACCCAGGGTGGCTGTTTGTTTGCAAGAAACTCCAGAAATTCAAATTTTTTTTTTTTAAAAAAATGGTGAAATGCCATATTTTTTAACACAGTATAACTCCATGTAAAATACCTGAAGATTACGGTAGGATTTGGAAGATTTTCACTCACCCAGGACAGCAGATGCACTGCTTGTGAATGTATAGTTGATGACTGGGGATTTCTCTGCCATCTCCCAGAAGTCGGAGAGATTCCTTCCTGCACAAATCACACCAAGAGGGTGTGCTCTTGTGTTCACGTACTGAGCGGTCATTCCAGAGTGCTCAGCGAGGGTACCGCTGCTCACCTGCCTTGCCGGCCATCACACAGATGAAGATGCAGTCGGATTCATCAGTCTGACTCACTGTGGGATGAAACAGAACACAACAGGACTTAACAATGAGGTTGTAGCTGTGAATCTTTGACTAAAATGAAAATAAAGTTGGAAGCACCCAGGTCAGCACAACACAGGAAAACCAGACTAACTCCTTCTTCCAGAGTTAGCTGAGAGTTTCTGGTTGCTTTCTTTAATTTGTTCAGCAGGGTGAAGGAAGAGGGAGATTTACAGTGTAGAGTTGTGGCTAACAGCATGGCCTCTGAGGTCAGTTTCCGGGGTTACATCAACTCTGCCACTTACAGGCTGTGCACCACACAAATGAATGAGCTATTTGACTTCTTCAGGACTCCACTTACCCATCTTTAAAATGGTGAAAATTTAAATTCCATAATCTTTTATTTTCAGTTCTCAAGTTCCCAGACCTCTGTAACCAGATGGTTTAGGAGTTTGATACCACCACTCATCTGGTGGCAAATTCTGGCTTTCCAGACATGAGGCTAATAAAGTATCTACTCTGCTAAGAGGATCAGACATTGTGCTAATGGTGATCTGTTGGTTATGGCAGGCTTCCCGGATGTTGCTGGAGGTGTTGTATCAGTATGATGTAGACACTCTAGTAGACTTTCAAAAGCTGAACACTTCTGAATTCCTAGGGACTTGCCCCTTAGGATTCTGCTTAATAGGCTGTGAACATGTGGCTGCAGATGCCTCCCTGGATGACTATGAGAGTCCAATGAGATGGTTAGTCTGTATGAAAGCTGACAGGTGCAAGGGCATGGTGAATGATCAGAAGAGTAATCACTGTTATTGTATACACATGATGCTATTAGTATAGTGACCAAAGTCCTTTAATTTGGTTGAAAGCCAGATTGCTTGGGTTACAATTCTTTTTCTGCTGAGTAATCTTAGACAAATTACTTAATTTTCTGTGCCATGTTTTTCTCAAGTGCAAAGTGGGAATAAATGCAGTAGCTACCCTACGACACTGTACTGGGAACCTAATGAGGGAATGTACAGGAAGCTCTTAGAAGAATGTCTGAAACCTAATGGTATCTCTTGTAGTTTCTTCCTCCTTCCTCCAGCTTATGCACATATAGCTGTTCCATAGTACAAAATGTAATCTTTCTGCTGATATCAACTGTTGGTTTGGGTTGTTGTCTATATCCGTGCTTTTCAAGGTGTGTCTGTGGGGAAGTGTTTTCGCCTGGGACTTTCTAGAAGCCCTCATAAACAAGGTGCATCTTTTAAAACTATACTTCAAGGAGATGTGAGCAAAGTGACCATCTCTTTTGAATCTCATTCTGCTCATATTTCAAAGGGTGATCCAGCTCTTCCCTAGAATTTGTTAGCTCGAATCTACAACTATTCCTTCTAACTTTAGTGTTGGATTTACCCTCCAATTTTCTGGTTACCAGGAGCAGCTCAGATTGAAAAATGGTGCTTCAAGTACTGTGTTAGAAACTCAGGTACCTTGGCCCATTGTCCAAGCAAAGTGAGCATAGCAGTTCCTGGCAGCCTGGTCTGCCTGGGACTGATATGGGGAACTCAACTCTGCTCGGTTTTATTCCACAGGGATCTTCCGGTCAGCTTACCTGAGAGGAGGGAGGTGGACCTGAAAACCTCTGTGAGGGAGCCAGTGGAGTTCCCCACGACATCTACCAGGAGGGCTGTGAAATCTGTGAGACAGATAGGGGAGGTTCTGATTCAGAGACTGAGGGGGAAAGTGGTTGCATTTGGGTTTTGCAGAATAGTTTTCACAAGTCTGATTTTGTTCAATGTATCGAGTAACATTAATAATCATATCAAGAAAAGCTACTAATTCTGAAACAAAAATAAAATTTCAGGCAGGCATGAAAATCTGGGGTCTGCTGTTATCACCCCTTTCCTGCACTTCCATTGCTCTCTCTCCATTCCCCTTCTCTACTAACACCTCAGAGCTACAAAAGGCTGCATTGTTGATTAATGGTTTTTCTCCATCACTTCATCTATTTGTTCCAGAATATTAAATCCACATGATAGGAAAAGAACTACATATATGCAAATATAAATATTGGAACTTTAAAATGCAATGTCAAATTAGAGGTGGGTTATTCACTACAAACTATCAAAAGGGCAATACCCATTATAATAGCTTCTTTTGTCCACTTTGTTAAAAGGCATGATAGAAAAATCTGGGAAATTTTTGTCACATTTCTGGTTGTAGAATGTTTGAGAGCTTTTTCTCTGAACAAAGTTTTGCTAGCAACATTGCCCAACATGGTGGGCTTTACTGACCACTAACCAGGAAAATTTACCCATCTATTTTTAGACAAACAGCTTCCAGTTCCTTCTCAACTCATTTGTGGCTTTCCAGGACACAGCACATTCTTGTTTGCAGGTGTCCCAAACACCTACTAGGTACTGGAGAACTTGGTAAAACATACAGAACAAGGTGAAGTTACTGAAAAAGAAAGCTTCATAAGCAGCGCATATAATGTATCATTAAATTTTTTCACACAAAGACTTTGAGCAAGGTTTGGGAGCCAGCCACCAACAATGGGGTCGAGTTTTGGCCAGGGATCAGGGAGAGGAGGAGACCTGCTCAAGGACCTATAGTATGTGTCAGAGCTGGGATGAGAGCTGAGGTCTGCCTTTGGCCAAAGTGTTCCTCCTCCTAAGAGCCCTACCCCTACTCTAGGTATGCGCCCTCTTGCATAGCACCTGCTGTCAACTTTCCCATGGGAATTGCTCATTAGACTTGGGAGAAAACCAGTCATCATGACTTCAAAGGTATGCTTTGTTTTAGCCATTCATGGACTGTGAGGGAAGAGAACAAGAAATTAACAAGAAACAGCCCTGCCTGCAAGTTGCTGCAATGCATGGGCTGTTGAGGGGAGAACAGATACCAGCCTTTTCGCCTGAGCCAGCACCATTTGCAAACTGTGTGTGTGTGTGGGGTGAGAACAAGAAGTCACCAAGAAACAGGCTCTCCCGATTAGTCAGCACCTTATGCAGGCCACTGTGGGGAGAGCCATATGCAAGCCCCTTCCAGTGCATGGGCTGAGAAACGATAAGAGCCAGCCTCCCTCATGCCCTCTCTGTAAGTGATTGACTGACCCAGAGAAACACAGGTTGTGATGATAACTAATAAGGTAAGATACAACTTAATGATTGCTTGTAGTGTTTAGTGTTTCACTGACTTTGCAGCCCTAAAGTCAGTAGTCTGGTCATCTATTCAGAGGACCATAATACAAAATGTAGCATTCATGGGGGATCTCCTTTTTTTTTTTTTAATAAAGGATTTTTATTTAAAGAGAAAAAAAAAAGCAAAACAGAAAAAAGGGTAGAAGTAATACAGAATTTCAAAAAAAAAAAAGACAGTAAGAGATCACTAAATGAAGAGGAGAAAAACTGGCAGCTTGCTAGGGGGCTGGGTGCAGAGTCTCTGTGGAGAAATCAGATCAGATGCTAGAATATGACAACATGGAGAGGGCCAGATGAATGGATAACGATTCTTATTAACCAAGGAGGTAACCAAAGGGAAAAATAAAACTAGAAAGAGGAAGGAAAAGTGCAGGGGTGGAGAGCTGAGGCCCAACTTGCTCACTGAGCCCTGTTCCTCACTGTACTGAGCGCCCAGACATCCAAGGTCTTGCTGAGCCACAGCTGTTGATAATGGGAGTTGGCGAATCCCAGACCCTTAACGGGAGGATGAGGCACATTGAGCAGTGGATCCAAGGGGAAAAGCTATATTGGCTCTTGGCGATTGCTGGAAACTGAGACATGGGGCTCCATGAAGCAGCCAAAGCCACCTGACTATGCTGGAGGAGACTGTGAGAAGCTCCCGGACTCTGAAGCCAGACACTGCACAGTTTTCTAATGGATCCGCGTTGTGCTGGGAACGTAGTGAAGACATGCAGCACAGTGTGTGGTGGACCTAAGAGGAAGATCTGCATTAATTCCTGGTGAGTACTAGGGACTGGATCCTGTGGCCACTGTCCCTGGCTGGAGGACATCTTGGAATTGGGCAGAGCCTGGTGCCACGGTGGCATCAGTGACACAGAGAAGACTGGTGGAGGACATCTTGGAGCTGGGCAGTGCCCTGCACCCTGGTGACATCACTCAGCCACCCCTGGCACAGAGAGAACTGGCAGGGTCTGCTGGGGCTGAACTATGCTTCTGGTTGGGACACAAGAAGCAGATACAAAATTGTCACAACTCTGTGATGTCCACAAGGTACAGCCTAACTTGCGGATTGACTGGCACAGAGACTGGAGGCTAGCCTACACCATCCCTGCATCCCTGTCTATACCTCAGATAAGAGCAAATTGGGGAGGGCAGCAAAAACTCCAGTCAGCATGCTTTGGAAAAACGCTAAGCAATATAGAGAGGGCCAGAGACACCCAGGACACACCAGTATGAAAGAAACCAGAAACATGACAAGAGATAGAAATAAAAAAAAAAATCTCCAGCTGCTGAACCTGGGAAAATAAGCCCAGGAGAAGTAAATACAGAAGAGAACCAGCACAGTAACCATCCAATACTAGACACAGCATCAGCCGATATAAAGAAATACCTTCATGACCTTGAATTTAAAACTATACTTCTGATCCAAGTGAGGAAAGATATAGAGAGACTAATTAAAGAAATGATAAGCCCCTCCTAAGAGAACACAGATGGAAGAATGGAGGAAATCAGAAAAGAAAGAGAAGCCTCTGATGAAGAATTTAAACATAACCTAGAATACATGAAACAGATCCAAAGAGATTACCAGGAAACTAAAAACTCCATTGAAAACTGGCAAAATGCCTTGACAGAAACTAAAGCTAGCCTTTTGAAACTTGCAGAGAGATATATGATATATGATCACAAAAGAAAAGACCTCTTAAAAATAACAAGGAACCAGAAAGAAACAATTCAAAGGCTAGAAGATGACAAAAGGATACATAACTTAAGAATAAAGCATGTGAGTGAGGAAGCAGGAGTAACCAAAAATGAACTACAAAGAATATTCTCAGATACATTAAAGGAAAACTTCCCAAGCATAGGAAAAAGAAATGATATCCAGACAAATGAGGCATTCAGAACTCCCGCCACCTACAACCAAAACAGATCTATACTCAGACATATAATAATCAAGATTCCAGAAATCCACCAAAAGAACAGAATACTAAAAGCAGCCAGGGAAAAGAAGTAGAAATGTACAACAGGAAAATTATCAAAATAACAACAGACTTATCCACACAAACTCTCAAATTGAGAAGAGCCTGGGGAGAAATTTTCTAAGCCCTGAAAGAAAATAATTTACAACCAAGATTGATGTACCCAGAAAAACTCTCTCTCAAAATTAATGGAGAAATAAGATGTTTCCAAAACAAGGAGGAACTGTAGGGGTTCATGGCCACCAACCCAACCCTGCAGAGACTGCTGAAGGACATCCCAGACAGAGAGAGGAAAGGATACTGGGATTCCAGCAACAGTGGCAGACAGGCCTCAAAGAATGGGGCAGACAGTGGAATGAGGGAGTAAGGTGGACAAATTATAGCAGTAAAGTGAAGTAGCAGACATGAGGCAGAGACGGTAAGCTATAATCTTTAATATAGATAGCCTTGATACACTAAAATAAAAAAAAACAGGCAGAGTAGACTAGAGACAGGCTCCATTGAGATGCTCTGAATGGGAAATACACTCAACCTGAAGGAGGGTTAATGAATTGAAAGTCAAAGATGAGAAAGCAAAGCTATATGCAACAGGAAACCAGAGAGAAATAGGGACAGCTCATCCAGCAGCCACAGATAGATTGGAAAGCTATGACACTTTTGGGCAGTGTAGAACTACACAGCTGGAAGGAAGGAAAACCCTATGACTTTAGTAAGTAAAGGAGTACAGCTCAAGATCGAGCTCAGGAATAGAAAGGTTCAGCAACACTCAGACAACAGGCTGGCTCCCTAATCTAAAAACTAAAGGGGCTAGTGAGACCCAAAACATACAAAGCATCCTGAGAAGGGGAAAGGTGAAAAATAGCCTAAAAAAGGAAGGCAGAGGTCATTGTTAATAGTGTATCAGGATTTAAAAGTCACAGTAGTCTTATCGCTGTGTTTAGTTTGAATTTATTTTGTCCTGGTCTGTCCACTCATATCAGATTTGAGGGCACAGACATCTAACCCAAAAATAGCAGGTGATACCGTGGTAACTATTAACTTAAACTGAAACCCTGTATTACTTACATTGTCTTACTATGACTGATATTATTTGAAGCTGGTTTGTTAGACTATGGTTTTGCCTTGGCTGATTTTATTCAAATTTGGTATGCTTGATAGTATCAAGTCTAAAAGCAGAGGCAACTACTCTGAAGATGAAAAGATGTAAAATATATACATACCAGTTTTCATTATTAACCAGTTTCAAGTCCTACAATGTTTTCAAAGCTGTGTTTTTATAAAAAGAGCTATGTAATGCTATGCTTAACTATATTAAGCCTGATGGTGTGGACAAGTCTATTGAAAAATAACAAGAGAAAGCACAGTAACTACAATAGGTCACCTAATGTTGTGGTCTTATGTGTCTTTTTCACTGCATGTTTTTCTAGGAATTTGTTTTGCTGTCTTGTTATGATTTGTTTTTTCCTATAATACAGAGAGGATAGATATACATGTAGAAATTCACACATGGGAAGAATTTTTTAAACTATATATGG